GGTTGGTGGGAGACGGGTGCAGCTGAGTCCCCTAACACCTGGTAGCCCGCGGAAATGAGGTTCTATTCAGTTTGCAGTTGGAAGCCACTTGAAAGGTTAACCTGAAGACTATCTGATAAAGTTTCTCGCTTGTCGTGCTGAGAATCTGGTGGCTGGGGTGGGGGTGGGGAATATTACATCTGATTACCGACCCGCGAAAGGGACGTTCAGTGGACACACGGGGACCGCTGTGCAGCACCCCAAATTTACATTAAACGAGGCAGCAGATGAAGGAAGCGGCCAGGGGAATGGAAATGAAAGGGGACGGGGTGGAGCTGCCGCCGGGCCGGGCAGGGCAGTGGACCAGTCCAGGGCAAACTGCCAGAGAGTCAGCCGAGACCGTACATCCATTGATTTTTGTTTAGGAACCGACTTCATTTTAAGTTCTGGAAATTCAGACGTCTCTCTACCTATATTATGAGACCCAACCCTGGAATTTTGTGCAGAACCACCGCTTCCGGAACCTTGTGTTACCGGAACTAGGCGCGTAAGTTCCCTTCATTGCCACCCGACGCAACTCTTAAGTCACGCTTCCGGTGAGGGAAAATGGCCGCGGCCGTGCAAAACTCACGTGTGAGTGCGGGGAAAAAGCTGAAAAATTCCTTAAAGAAAAAAAAGAAGATGAAAATGGTAGCCAGGGCTGTGACAGCGAAGCTGGAAGATGAGGGCAAAGACGCTTCCGACAGTGAAGGTAATGTATTAAGGCGGAGCTTCGGCGTCTGACAGGAAACACTAGGCTCAGTTCCCGGGAAGCCCGATGTCAGTGTGCTTGCTGGAAGCCGCCAGGGTTTCATCACGGCGTGACATGGGTTGGAAGAGTTTGGCGCAGTGAGAAGGCTTGCTCTAATCTGTAATTTTGAGTATTGTTTACTAATTTTTTTTAGTATCACTTATATTAAAGGTGGTGAAACTGCTGCAGTTACTGAGAAATTTAACAAAGGGTGAAAGAAGGGAGATATTTGAAATTACCTGAGTGGAATAAATTTCAGAGAGCGAGAAGCAAGAAGCCAGAAAGAAGAGGAAGAAGGATGTATTCTTGACTATTGTGCATTAGGTGAATGCTGCTGTTTCGGAGTTAAGGACTCAAATAGAGAATGAAAGAAGAGTTTGTGGTACACGTGGGTTAAATAAAAGTAGCATTTGATAGCAATGTCTCAGAGACGCTTGATCATGAAAAGAAGGTAGGATTTATTTTGACCTTCAACCATGATGTGTCCTTGTAGGTTACAGGGAATTGCACACTGTCCTGACTTATGCTGAACAGTTAATGCTTGTTTGTACTAGAGGATACAAACAAAACTAACAGCTATTTTAAATAATGTATGTCTAATAATGTCATTTATTTGCTTAAGATGACCTAGTTGCCTCCCATCTCAGAGTAACATCCAGAATCTTTTTACTGTATCATCTGGCTGAGGTTCTTTCTGTCACTCTGCTACTCACTAACTATTTACCTAGACAAACTGGTATTCTTGGTTTGTTTATCACATCAGATGTGCTCCCGCATCAGGCTTTCTGCACTTGGTGGTTTTACTGCCTAAATACTCTACAGATACTTGTGTGTCTCTCAACTCATTTGTTTAATCTCTGATTCATTGCTTTATAAAAGACTCTTGACCCTAACCTTGTTTCTAATGCATCATCTCCATTCTTTTGTTTCCTTACCTTTGCTTTTTTATTTACTACCCTACCCCCCCTTCTTTTCCCCTCAGCAATTTTAAAACCATCAGACATATTTGTGGTGTATCTCTCCAAACTGGAATGTGAATTCCATAAAATTATAGACTGATCTGTTCCCATCGCCTAGAACAGTGCCTTTTGCATAGTGTGTCTATCATAAGTATTTAAGAAAATGAATGAATCTGGACATCAGGACCAAGAAGAAACTGTCATGCTATTGCAGTCACTAGGTAATTAAGAGTCTTTATACCCTGTCAAGGGAGTTAAGGAGAACAATTTGATACTATTTGAACTCAAAGACTGGTTCAAATATTGTCCAGGAAACAAATACTATTACGTTTGGAACAAAACGTTAAGTACTGTTTTTTAAATTTGGGTGGAAATTGGACTATTGTATACAAGTAATAGATAATTCCAAGTGGGAACTGTTATTCTCAGTACATTATTATAATACTAATTCGGTTCTAAGGTTCTCTTGCTGTTATTTTGTACATCATGAGTTAAAGAAGGTGTCCTGCTAGTATGGAAACCTAATTATCCAGTTCAGTTCAATGAGCAATTGTGGTCTGTTAGGTACTCCTCTAGGTGTTGAGGATACAAAGGTTGAATAAATTGTGTCTTAGAATTGCAATTTCAGGGAAGACAGCTATTAAACACATTGTAATACAATGTGTTATTAATTTGTTACGATATAGTATTATTTAATTTAATAATAAGAATTATTAGAATGAAGTTATCCAAACCATGATCCAATTAAAAAATGTTAAGGATGGAAACAGAGAAGTCCATATTCTGTAGAACCCAATCTAGGCATCAAGTTTTTTTATTATACCTTTTATTCATAGTATGTTTATTATCTTTTAACATGTATCTGTCCTTGTAGATGCACATTTTCCAAATGATGATGTATGTTTTGTTTATCTTTATTTTCAAGGGGTCTTTCTTAAATATTTTGGTTATTAGTAAATTTTTGTGTTGAATAAAATGCAAAAGTGACATTTCATCTAGGTTTTCTGAAGATAAATTATTTTCTAGGCTTGGACAATTATAAAAGAAAAATTTTCTCAGACATTAGGAGAAGCCCATGCATTGTCATTGTCATTCATCCTTGTTTGTTTTTGTTTTTTTCCTTTCTGGTACTGGAGATCAAAACTAGGGCGCTTTACCACTAAACTACATCTCCAGCCCTTTTCATTTTTTATTTTGAGTCTTGATAAATTGCCCAGGCTGGCTTCAAATTTGTAATCTTTCTGCCTCAGTCTCCTGAGTTGGTGGGATCACAGGCATATGCCATCATAGCTGGCTGGTGTGCAGTCTCTTAAAATTTATTGTCTTGTGTTGGACAAAGTGAATTATTTATTTGTTGTGGCTTCAGCTGTTTGGAAAAGTAACTAGAGGTGAAACTGGAACAGAGATTAAAGTAAGATTGTAAAGGACCTTGTGTGATATATGGAGATTATATTTTTAAGTGACAGGGAGCTTTTGAGAACTTTTAAGTTAAGAGAGTGACAGACATTTATAAATATTACTGCTGTCTGTATGGTGACTGCTGTAGAGTGTAGAGTGTCTGTATGGTGACTGCTGTAGAGTGCCTGAACAATCAGGCAATTACATAACTCCCTGTTGGGGCCTTTACTGGGACAGGATAGTGAAGATAGAAAAGGCCCTACTTGAAATGTTTCTTTCATTTTTTCAATTTTCATTTTTTTCAATTTTCATTTTTTTCAATTTTTCATTTTTTTCAATTTTCCAACTACCAACTTAAACATAAACTCAAAGCACCGTTAATTTTGAGTATACTGTACTATTAGAGAATTAGATAATAATATTTTTTTTTGAGTTTTCCTTTGTTAGATACTGTTCTGACTTATATGTCACTTCAGTTAATACCAACAATAACCCTATAAGGTAGATAACTAATGTCCTCATTTTGTAATATAAGAAACCAATGCACAGAGAGGGTTGTATTTTGCTCATTGAATATATAAATTGACAAGCAAGTTGATAAATGGCAAAACTGTTATTGAAGTTGGTCTCTAGATTCTGCACTCTGGGCCACTACGCTGGTGTGGTTGAAGAATCAGGAATATAAAAATGATCAAAAAAAGCTATTTGGAAAGTGAAAGGGATAGGGTCATAATGTCTGAAGAAAGAAATGACTGGGAGCAAGGAGTCCTTGATACTGGGACAAGCTTTTTCCCCCACTCAAGGATGTTCCATCACTAAGGGTATTTTTTGAGGTCAGATTTCTATAGCATTCTTTGTAAAGTTTATAGCCATTGTTTCCCTCAGTCCACTCTTCTATTATCTATCATTCTCTTCCTCCCCTGAAACCATATATTGTTTCTAGAAACAAATTCCCAAGTTTGCTAAGTTGTATAAGAGGCACCTGTGTTTGTACTAATTCCTATTGTAGGTTAAGCATCCCTATTTGGAGACTCTGAAATGTGAAATGCTCCAAAATCTGAAATTTTTTGATTGTTGATGTGATACCACAAGTGGACAATTCCACAGCCGATCTCCTGTGACTAAAAATAGTATATACAGTTATACTCAGGTTATGTATTTAAGGTGTATATGGAACATAAATGAATTTCTTGTTTAGATTTGGGTCCCATTCCCAAGATATGTTATTATACGTATGTAAATATTCCAAAATTCAAAAGTTTGAAGCACTTCTGATCCCCACCGTTTTGGATAATGAATACTCAACCTGTATCTGCTTCAGTTTTTTAAAATCTGTAAATGAGGGGGATTATGATGTCTGTCTTAAGGATTGTTGTGAAGTAAATTGAGTTCATCTATGTAATAATTCAATATTGGGCCCATGGTACTTAATCATAAATAGTAGTATTAATGAATTTCCTTTCTGATTCAACAAGACTGTTTAGTTTCATCTCTTTATTGCCAGATATGCTTTCCAGCCTGTAATAACAGTGGTGTTTATAAACTGGAAGTTTCTCCAGAATAGTGGTTTGAATTTTCTTTAGTAACCCTAAGAGGCAGTGAATGCATTTCTGTTTTATAGAAGATATTCATGGCTGCAAGATGTTATCTGTCATTTCTCTCTTGCTCCATAATTTAATCATTTGATCTTACTTTGGGGTAATATTCCAGATTAATGATGATTATTTTGACAACTATTAATTGCCTCTTGTTCCATAAACATATTTGCAGAACTGAATTCATGATTTCCCTTCCCAAGGCTGATTATATTTTTGAGAATGACATCACTATCTACTCCCTGCCCAAGGTAGAAACAAGTATCATCCTTTACTCTTTCCTTTGTTTCCACATTTGTTTGATTTAATTCAAATATTTCTTGTCACCAACTTAATTCTTGCCTATATCTCTTTTGTTTAGGTTAGTACTAACAGTTAATATCTGAGTGCCCTGTTGATAGCTGCACTTTCTGCAGTCGTGTCCTCTGGTCGTTGTTTCTTAAATTACCAATGATGAAGGACCATTTTTATTTTATTATTTTTTAAAAATTTCCAGTCTGACATGGATAGATATCTTTAAAAATAAATAAAATGACCAAGAAAAATGAGCACATATTTGGATATTGTGGAAATGTCAAATTGCCCAGTGTTCCTAAATACTTACTCTCAGTTTGTGAATTCATAGTCACTTTTCACTATTTGATAATGGTCTATCAACTCATAGCACACACTAAATTAGTGAATACTGAAGATTGCTTTTAGGAGAAATAAAAAGTAATAAAAGATAAGTTCTGCCTGAATAAAACTTATTTAGCATGTGTATTTTTTTTCTGTAAGGTATACCATAGTCTTCTTGGGCTTATGAAAGCCAGAAAGCATAATTGGGGGCATTTAAAGTAGTGAGGTCACTAAGAAAAATGCACAGAAATGTGAAAAACATAACACCAAATAGTCTGGAAAGGACATCTTTTCACTGTATGAAAGCTGAAATAAGAAGATAGAATGTTGCCTTGGCTGAGTGTGTGAATATAGGCAGACTGAAAATTCTTACCACTCTGAGCATGTTTGT